TCTTTGCAGGTAAAGTAAATCTACCTTTTAGCTCTTAAAGCTGCTCCTCAGAGTGACAAAATGTGTAAATTTTCTTTGGGATAATTCAAAAATATGATCAGAGTGATGTATGTAGCATACAGTATCATTCCAAGGGAGCGTGATCAGCAGCCACGGTAGCCAGTGAATCATAAACCAAAGGAAGTCTAAAACTGACTAAAATCAAATCAGCAGTATAACAAAAAGCAACAGCTCAGTATATTTTAGTCTCTGCAAATATTTGTAGTGGGTGCTCATGGGGTGGTATTAACGTACATGTATCTTTTGGTTCTGCACATACATTAATATGAGCACGTTATTTGTTCTCTCAGCCCAGTGGACTTACATCAGTATTAGCCGTTTCTGAAACATTACAAGACCTTTTTCTAGGCATCATAGGAAAGTATTGCCAGGCTGGTTTTAAATTTAATACCTCTCATAGAAGTAATGTCACAGCCAACCTGAACTCCTAGATCAATATTCTGTTAGAGTCAGGGCAGCTTATCACAGACTTTTAAACTTGTCATCTAAAATTAATCTTTCCCCCTAGCACCTCCCCCCCACCAAATTTCCAAACTTCCTATAAATTCTTGAAGTTATGACTGCACTTTTTTTTGTCACATTTGGTCTATTTGAAAGGTGGCCACAGTTTGATGGCACTATAAAAAAGGAATAATAAGCATGACTTTCAATTGTAGTCATAAGAAATCATCTCTGTATAAGGTAAAATTCTGGTTAACTGAAGTCAGCAGAGGTTTTCCTGTTGACCTGCAGAGGATCATGACTGCATCTTCTAAGTCTGTCCAGTATTATTGTAGGATTTATCAGCAGATAGAGTGCTTTTTAGGGGCATTTTTCTTGAGCTCCTCTCCAGTTGGTATATCCAGCCAGCAAATAAGCTCTGATGAACTTCTCTAAGAAATGGATAAGGCTCCTGGTTACTTTAGATCCAGAGTAAAGCTGCTAACGCGAACTTAGCAATTCTGGATTTGTTTTTATATAACCAAAAGTATATGGACCCTAAATTTGAAATCAAATTAATCCTCTTGGTTTTAACAAACACCACCAAATCATGAAGCTCGTGTGACTAAGGCACGCGGTCCCAAAGCTTCACCACGTGGCGGCACACACATTCAGGACACAGCTTTCTTGTTCCTTCCTAGTTGATTCTAAAATAATGGGGCTTGAAGCTTTCATGAAGCATCTGCAGTGAGAACAGAAGAGATTTTCATTTAATAATATGTGATTTGCAGCATAATTCCTATCTTTTAGTACTAACAAGTAAGCTGTGCATAGAGTGTAAGGCTGGCATATTCCCAGTGCTCTGTGGAGAGGAGGGCTGACCTCCTGCCATTGAGCCCCTTACCATTTTGGAGTTAGCATGATTTCATCCTAAGTTACGCACTTCACCAGAGACTAGTGACCGAGACATGGCTGTTCTGCCTTTCATGAAGTATTTTTGGCTGGGGAGGGGGGCTCGCCTAGTAGGAAGCACAGTGTTGGTGAGTAGCAGCTTCTTTATTGGAAAAAATACATTTTTTCTGTTGCAAATTCACTGAAGTCTCCTAGAGGTATTTATTGATGTGGAATTGCCAAAGTCAGGCGCTCTCCTACGCTCACATAAGAGGCAAAGAGCCTTGACTGTTAGAAGGGTACCACACAGCCGAATAATATTGAATGTAGTGCTCGTGCGTTTTCTAAGCATGAAGTATCTGAAATATTTCTAGGTTTTAAATGTTTCTCTGGAGTGTTTGTAAGCCCTTAAGCAGTGGGCTGGTGCGTAAAGTCTAATCAAATGCAAAGGAAGAACAAACGAGAGAGGAGAGAAGTTGACTTGTGCATTTGTAATTATTATTCTGATATTAATGAGGTCAGATCCAAAGCCCATTTGAATCTGTGTGATTAGCAATAACACAATTATTTTCAGAAGCAAGATTTTCACATCGGAAACATCTCTGTAAGTTAGGCATTTTAATGAAATGAAACTTTATTGTACATTAATATAATCAGGATGATCTCAGTGAATGCGATAATTGTTTTAAGTCAAGTACAAGATACCAGGAAGCATGTTTTTCCTTTTTTGTACATTTTTGTCTTAGTTATCCCTGGATTCCCATAAACAGAGCTCTGAGCTGTGGTGCTGTCTGTGTGAAGCAGCTAGTTTGCACTCAAAAAATCACTAGTGAGTCGTCATGAGTGAGACGCTGCCGTTCCAGTCCTGTAGACATCATGTTTGACAGACATACTAGAGCATTTCTCGCATGTTGGAACAGGCGATTCTTGCAGCAGTTTTAGGAGTTCTGTGTATAATAATTATATTTGGATTTGTAAATACTATTATTGCAAAGTTAAGATTTGAAAATAAAGGAAACCAAGAACTAAGATTTCCGATGTGATCTTAATTTGCTTCCCTTCTGTGTGTGTGTGTGTTAAGACATTGCCTCTGATTATTTGACTACTTACTATTTTTATTCCACAACTTCATCTTTATTCTCAAAGCAGAATGGATGTTACTTGCTTAGTAGCACATGTTCAGCATTTTGTCTTCTTACTGTTAAAAGTGCTGGTCTTACAAACGGTGCACAGTATTCAAAGCTTACACCGAAGATGAGTAATTTTTCCTCTGCATTTCCACAAACAGTTCATGAATTTGTTTCTCCAAGACCCAGACGAGGCAAGAACAGCTTCTCCTTCCCATGTCACAGCTGAAACACCAAGACACGAAAGGGTTCAGGTCACACATTTCCAATGAATTTGAGCACAGAGGGACCTGGTTTTTCAAAGTTCAAAGTGTAGCACTGGTGATAGATATTTGAAGCGTCGGTGGAGCTCCCCTTGCCTGCAAGGGCTGGCGTGCTCGGAGTTTTTTCGTTGCACGCCGCAGAACCGCAGGCAGGGTAGACGCTGTGCGTGGAGAGGTGGTGTGGTCACGTGCCTTTCAATTAGGGGCCTTAGAGCATTTGGTTAAATGTGGGGTTTAAATGAGTGCTGGAGTGAAAGCAAGTGCTTCGGCGGTTCCTGTTTCCTCTGTCGCAAGTGGGGCAACTGAGCAAACGCTGAAGGAACCCGAGTGACCGAGCTGAACTTCCCCACCCCAGGGGGGACAGCGGCTGAACC